AGGCACAGGCATGTGCCACTCAGCCGGGCAGCTGAGACCCCCGTCTCAATATACAAATAGGCTGCGCGTGGGTTAACCATACTAGCCGGAAAACCCTGCCGCAACAACCATGTCCCAGATCAGCAAAGTCACCCCCCGAATCCGCAACAAGAGAATCTGATTCGGCAAAACAGCTCCGACGCAAACCAGCAGCTCATTTTGAGTTCCCACCAGCAGGCTGAGCGCATTTTGCGTTTGAACTTTGAACTTTGAACCAGCAGTGCATTTTATTTTGAGTTCGAACCAGCAGTCCATTTTAAGTTATTCGTCCATATGATATACTTGCAAATGCTGGGATTCCTGATATTCCTTTGGATTGACTTGGTTCCAATCAATTAAATCCAGCATCCCTGACTAAGGGCATACTCACATTAGTACCTTTTTTTTCTACCGAGCCTGAACGTGACCGAGGCAAATTCATTAGAGTTCGGCGCCTAGGGCCGAAATCGCTGTAAGATGCGTTTCAAAAAACTTCAATGCGAGCATATGCCCAAAATGCAGACTCTCACACAAGGACTTGGGGCATACTCACACTAGGGTAGGCCCTTTTTTTTTTACCAAAAACTGTCCCTCCAGTGCTGGCGATGCTGATAAGAGCAGTCACCGCTAGCACCTGGGGATAGGCTCCATCTATTGGTGGGGAGCATCACCTGCTGGAAAACGGGTCCAGCGTCCCTTATGAGTATGATACAATTGGAGTACATCAGAAAACCGTAGGAAGAACCTGCCAGCATTGATTGCCCTGGAGACCAGGGGATTGACTGAGCAGGGGGGGGAGCCTCTTCATCCTGATTTCGGCGCCAGATTTCTACTGCTACTTACTGACTCCCACCTCCCTCTTTTTTTACAGATACTACATAGAAGGAAAAATGGGCGGTAGCTGGAAGGTGCCTGCCAGCCAAAAGAGCAGATTGACTGAGCAGATGTGAAACTGTCCCGGGCCGTAGACCTGGCAGCACACTTAACCTGCTAAGATTAGGAAGCCCTTAGGCGAACATAGTTTGAACGGAGGGAAACTGGCTACGACAGACGGAATGAATATGCAGAGTGGTGCCCCACCTACATTGATTACTCTGTCTCTGAAGGTAAAGGGTTATCCATTAGTCTTAATTCCAAGGACAGCGGGTGGGGCGGGAATGGGTCCGGAAAGTCCTCTGCTGGCCTCAGGGGAACGCTGCAGTCTATGGTCATCCAGTCTTTGAACTAGTCGGTAGTCTCGTGGCACCGTTTTCCTTCCTTGTTCTCCCTCCCTTCCCTCTTCTTCATTCCCTTCTCCTGACCATCTTACCTCTGTGACCCACCCCTCTCGATCCCCTCCCAGCCATTCTTTGTGTTATCCTGTCCTTGATGTCTTTTGCCCTGTTGAGGGTGTCAAGGGTGAGTTTGACAGACTTCCATCTGTATTCCAGTTCCATTTGTATGTGTTGCTTAAACTGTTCTACCCTCTCCGCCCCCTCAACTCGAACCTGGTCAAACACCAGGGCGCACCGTTGCCACCATAAGACCCATACGACCGTTCTTCTGCCCATCTGAAACATGTTCCAGGCGAAAGTGTCTCCTTGGAGAGGCGGGTAGTGGCCCAAGTATGCCCTAAGTCTGGGCAATTCTTAATTACCATCAGCTCAGATGACACATCAGGGTGAGTCCGACTGTGAGGGCATACTCGCACATGGGTTGCAAAACAGCAAATGTGCCACATTTGCTACTCCTAGTTTTTCATTTTGCTGTGTCGCGCAGTCACACAGGTGTAGCAACATGGAAGCAACATGGAAAAGACAATGCCTTGACGCCCTGCCATTTGCAAAATTGCCCATTTGTGCAGTTACACAG